GTGTGTGTGTGTGTGTGTGTGTATATGTGTAGGGGGTGTATACACGCTTCCTCTACTTCCTCATTTTCCAACTCCACTTTCAATCTTTTGAATTTAGTAAGTAGCTTTTACTAACCCATTCTTTCTGACTCTTGATAGGTTGATTATTTGTAGAAAACTTTCACTAACTCACTGATGTTTTTTTATTTTTCTTTTCATTGTGTTTTAACATTTTACTGTATTTCAACAGAAAGTTAACACAGCAAATTAGTATTCCATTAATTTATCCACAAATTGTTCCATGTTTTGGTTGCAATCCCTGTGACGTGTCAGCACCTTAGCCATTTCCAACCTAGTTCCTTGTTTCCATTTTGTGGTATCTCCATCTCATCTTTGTTTTGGGGCAAATATTGCCCATATGGTCATATATAATTGACTGTTCTAAAAAGCACATTTCTCATTGGTTTTATTGTGTGTTTTATGGGCTATTCTAATATTTGGTTGCAAGAGGGCCTCTGGGACTGGCTTCAGTTCCTCCAAGTTAAGAGACTGATTTGGGATAATACTCTCAGGGGTCCCTCTAGTCACTGTAAGACCAATAGATAGCCCAATCAGTCTTAATCTTTGCTGGGCACAGACATAATGTACTGGTTGATCTGGGACTAAATTAGTCACCATCCCTGCCTTTATTGGAGTCTTATAACCTAGCAGATTAAGAATTTCAAAGCTCTCAACTCTCTTCTTAGAAAAATGAACATTCACAAATTTTTGCATAAAATGTCTGGGTGTTAATATGCATTGCCAACCCCTCAAGCTGTAGACTCTTCCTATTTCCTCTATTCAGTCTTTTACTGTATAATTTCTTCATTATTCAGCCAGATAAAAGGAGATAAATACTTCCTCCCTCTTGATTTTACAGCTTCTGAGTCATATCTTTCATCTTCTATTTTCAACTCATTTATACTTCTCTTTGGAGCCTCAGACAACATTCTTTCCTTATCGCTAGGTATCTTCTGAAAAAGCAAAATCCCTCTATGACAGTATGGGTTCCCCCCCCCTTCCTTTTTTATCTTTTCTTTGCTTTCTCCCCCTTCTCACAGCAAGTGCCTGTTCATCATGCCACTGAATGTTATCTTAAAGGAAATTGTTTTGCTTGCCCCCTGGGGAGGTCTTCTCAGTTCTTCACTTTGATGTCTGTTATTCTTCATGAGATAAAAGAGTGTAGAGCAATCTTTGTGGATGAACGGCATAACATTAATTCATAAATACCAAGTCGTACCCAAACTAAATGGTTTTCCTTGATATTTTTGTGTACAGCTCCCATAGCAATGGGTGACTCATGGGGAAAGAATCCAAAATCTTGCCACATGTGAGATGCATTCTTATATGTGTAAGCCATGTGCCCTACCAATCAACACCCAGCCCATGTTGGCACTCATTGATCATTTACTATTAATAATCAGTGTCATCATAGCAATCTCAGTTAAGAGATAAAATTAGGCTATGAGTTCAAACGTATGTGGAACTCTGAATATTACCTTTCTTTCACAACTGCGCTAAAGGGGGGGGGAAAGACATGACTCTGCAAGGAGATCAGGATTGTGTTTCTGCTCTTTCTTGAAGGCATGGGTTTCTTTGAGTGGAAAAAAATCGTGTATTCAGCAGCCAGCATATTATTACACTTCACATGGGGTCACTGGGAGTTGAAAAGGACATGACAGCACCCACTAACAACAGTATTTTATTCATTAATATATATTTCTTAGTATGGAAGGATTGTGGAAAATACTTGTTTTTTTTTTAAACTTTTTCTATAGTTTACAGCATGTTGTCACTGCTTAATTTGGAAAATATATTGCACTTTCTAGAACATACTGTACAACTCAGATAGCTTATTTGGTTTTCTGTTGACACAACAATAATTCCTAAATTTAAGAGATGAAAAACAAATCTAGGCTTTGGTCACCTCTCCTAGAATTCCTGGAATTTATATTTTACCACTGTGTTGTTTCGAGTCTCCTATAATATCATATTGAGTCTCCAATATGAATGGATATGACAATGATTCCAGTTTAATTTTCTAGTAAGATAAATTTTTGTCCTCATTAGTATTGTTCTTTCAAATTCTCCTTGGAAACTCTCTGATTCATATAAAGTAGCACATGAAATGATAGCTATGGGGCAGTGGTAGCTTTCCTTTTTTATTCTTTTTTTAAACTGGGATTTCCTAGAATAGGAAGCATTAACCTCCAACCTTAGAGATGTTCCCTAGACATAGGAGCATAAAAGACTCATTTAGAATCTGCTTTTCTAAGGCAAATAGGGCACAGTTCTGACTTTATTTTTAAAAGAATAAAATTTTAGCTTTAATATGTTATGTTTGAATACACGTGCTGAAAAGCAAGCCTGGCTTATCTCTTTGTTGTGTGTCCTTTTTCTGTCCCTTAATTGCACAATTGATCTTATCCTAAGGGTGAATATGCTGAGATCATGGCCATTGGCCAGTGGGAGTTACCCACTGCTATTTCATCAAAGTTGTTATGTTTGGTTTGCATTAGAAAGTGCTTAGTGATACTCTGGAAATTAAAAAAAAAATTAAAATTTACTTCAAAATGCCAAAAATTAAAGTATGATATTTTCAAATAGGTTTTAGAAAGGTGGCCATCTTAATAAGCCTTCCAAATTGGGCTGTGAAAGATCAGATGCACGGCTCCCTGAATATTTCTGGTAATTTCCAAACTCAGCAAACAGCTTGATGTGTCTAAAACATCATTCTTAAAATGGAAAAGTTCTAGATTCTAAAAGATATCATCTTAGAATACAGATTTTTTTTTTCATAGTCCTAATTATCAAGGAGTTTATCATTTAAACTTCAATTTCTCTGGTTAGTTACTTTCTGTTGTAAAATATTCTATGTATCTAAAGGTTGTGCAGAATATTATTAAAACCAAAATATTATAACAAATTTGTCGAGAAATCAAATCAAGAATCATCAACTATATGAAAGAGTACTGCATTTCTAGAAGACATTATCTTATGTCAGAATTATAAGGTCAATGCAGTG